TTATGTATAGAGAATTATACCAATATACTACTACTATACTAATAGTACTTCCAATAAATTGATGGATGTAGCCGTTACTAATAATACTTCTCTCTCAAAAAATCAATAGTGATCAAAATGCAAATGAAGAAAGGTGTTTAAAATATTTTTAAAAAACGTTCAAAAATGTCTGATTCTTCTTGTTCTGGCGGAGGACGATGGTTTCATCCCCGTCATCAGATTCGAGAAGCTCTAGGAGGTCGTTGTAGTTATTTTCGTCTTCGTCAGGTTGAATACAGCAGGCCTGCTTTCTGACAGGAACACGCGGAGGTACACTCTCGTTTGCAAGCACAGGAGATGCTTCTGAGGAGTGTCTCTGGTGCTACGTCTCTTGTCGTTTAAATGGGGGCTGCTCTGCCATCCCCACTGCTCAGGGTCGAGCGTGTTCCCAAGCCATACTTGTATTTGATGGTAGGTCTTCTAGCATCGCGCGTAGAGTGCAACCGTGTCAAGTCGACCTTTGTGCGGGAGACTCACTTCGAAAAAAATTACATAACTCATCTGATCAAGGGTGGAGGATGGGCTCCCGACCCCATAATCAGCCTAGAGTGCTATCATAACTTCTTTACCATAAGAGGCGACCTCTTCAGGTGTACTCGACGGTTTTCTCCAACAATGATGAGTTATTGTTGCAGAGAGTACTACACACCTTCTGCTTCCCCTGGCCGGTGTTGTGTCTCAGCCACAGAAGGCGTGTGTGAACAAAATGGTCGCTGGGTCGAGTCTGAACAAAGAAACATCATAGTAGACGTCACCAATCCTACCTCTTTCTGGCTTCAAGGAATACAGATTTCTGGTTAGCACATAATTTAATTTAATTTATTGATCTTTTAGATACAAATAAGATAAGTCACATATACACACATACATTATTACCCAAGAATGAATATTATACTATTTCGCCGTTTATTCGTGTTTCTCTGGATAGGACAGCTATATATTCGTCAGTAGAATAAACATAATTCGAAATCAATAGATATTTCAGATACTTTTTGAACAAGTATTGATTTAACTTTTTGACATGGGGAGGTAGAATATTGTATAAGTTGACATCGATAGATTATGAAAATACTCATAAAGCCTATTTTTTACGATGATTTCACATAATTTGCCGAAAATTGGGACGATCGATATTGGCCGGTAATTTTCAATTGCATCCTCACTGCCTTTCTTAAAGATTGGGACAACTCGGGTCACCTTGAATTCACTTGGAAATATACTTTTTTCGATACACGCGTTAAAGAGTATTCCAAGCGGTTCAATTAGATACGAGGCCATTTCTATGACAATTCTACTTTAAGTTCATATGTATCAAACGAGTTTGAGTTTTTCAGATCAGATATTGCCGCAGCAACTTCACTGTTCAAAATTGGTTCCATGAAAAAGGATTTTGGTGTATTTGGTTTGTCCGTTATTGATAGAGGAATATAACGGGAATTTGAGGGTGACAGATCCTCAGGTATTCTCACACCTACGTTAACAAAATATGTATGAAGTCATTCGCAGTGAACTTACTTTCACGATGTTTAATACCATCTCCATTCTTTTCAAAATTGATAAGTTTCCAACTGTTTTTAACTTTATTTTCCGAATTTAATTTAATGCAAGATAAGCCTGTTTGTGTATCTTATCCTTTGTACAATTAAATATCGTTTTTACAGCTTCAACTTTATTTTTCATGATTTTTTTTTGGTCAATCATCCAGTGGCCTGTCATGAGGACCTGAAAGTCAATATCTTCCCCAACTATTAACACAATGAGATAGTCCTGTACCTTTGAAATAGCTGAAGTAACAATTAGGTAGTCTGCGTTCTCATCCGCTTGCTTCACTTCTATGCCACATTCTTCGAATTCAGTCTTCAGTAAAAGTATGAATCAGCTCTTATTTTTGTCATTTGGCAAAAATTTGTCCTGTGCTATTTGGCTTGTCATTCTGGCTTCAACAATAACTTCTGCAGATTGATGGCTGAGCATTATTAGCAGCCGCTCGGTTCGTTTTGTTCCAGCCGCTTCAAGATAGCCGTCAAATACCACAACCACCTGGATGCCATAATGCTACTTCACGTATGATGAATAGCATTAGTAGTATTTTGAGGCCTAACGACTTTATGGAGCATCCATTAACAACAATAAAGTGCTCCTGCTTAGCTAAATTAGCAGAGTCTATGGGATGAATACTTTGTACAAAGATACTTTTGTTCTCTTTCTCGGACCTCATTCGGAGAACTGGGACCTGGGGTAGGGTGCCAATTCATATTAAAGATAAATTTCCATGTCCTCATCAGACTGTTTTGGAACACAAAACCTATGAAACAAAGTTAGTGGATCAATAATTGCAGTCACTTTCATGATTCCTGCTTTCCAACTGTTGACAACGGAGGCCAAGGTTGTTACCTTGTCTGCATTAATTTTGATCACTATTGACTTTTCGAGAGTAGGAAATGTAGTTTTAGTATAGTAGTATATTAGTATAATTATTGACTGTATATACATTTTCAATTACTTATGAACTCGTAAATAAATTTAAATATCAAATTAAAAATGTTTTAAACATTTTTTATTGTTGCCGGACTAAACATCCTTTCTCACTGCATCGAGTTATTCTTACAGTTGTTGATGAACCTAGAAATGGTTTTAAACAGTTAAGAAATAGCATTGAATCGTTATCTCTTGAAATACTTGATATTAGCCTATTGACTTTTTTGAGGGAAAATGTAAAAATTGTCTGTATGTATGGGAGAGTGTGTATGAAAGAGCCAGTTTTGAAAAACATCAAAAAAGGTTAACATCAGGTGATGGTTATTGAATAAAATTGCTTTTTGTAAATAATTAGTTCAATAGTTGGTTATCCAATCAAAATAAAATGAGATACTATGACAGAAATTAGTAATATGACAACTTAAAGAAAAAAGGGAAATCGGCTCTTTCAAAGCAACATGTGTATGAAAGAGCTGGGCATGTGCTATGAAAGAGCTGGGTTCCTCTTTACAAAAAAAACAGTCTTTCAGCAAATAAAAATCACTTAATAAACTATATATGATATATAAATCTTATCAAACTGAAAAATTGCTCATTTCTGTGAAAATCAGTTATTTATCAGTCTTAAATCATAATCCACTCGTTCATAACTATTCAATATCTTGTTATGAGTTAATTATCAAACTGAAAAATTGCTCATTTCTGTGAAAATCAGTTATTTATCAGTCTTAAATCATAATCCACTCGTTCATAACTATTCAATATCTTGTTTTGAGTAAATTCTGCTGATATTTCCACCTCCAACCTCAAAGTGGATCAACTAAGACAACAGGAGACATTCACAATGGACATCGATGAGCCACTAAGGCACTTCCCAAAGACAAAAACCGACCAGCATCAGTCGGCACCGGTCAACAGAAGAGGTCCGATAACGCCCATGTCCGCACGTTTCACAAATCACCGTCCGAAAATTAATAGAAATGAGCGTCGAAGTTCTGCCTCACCCACCATTCTCCCCAGACCACTTGCCACCCGACTACCATCTTTTCAATTGATAACTTTCTCACTGGTAGAACCTTTGCCAATTAGGACCAGGCAAAAGCAGCCTTGGTCGACTTCATCGAATCCCAAGCACGCATTTTTTATGCTGGCAGAATTAATCGACTTGTGTTACATTGGCAACAGTGCACTGATTCAAATGGCGCTTATTACAAATAAATTGAATAAGTATTCACTGATATATTACAGTAAAAAGTAGCGGACATTGAAGCGGACAAAACTTTTGAAACAACCTAAAAATATATTGTCTGAAGAAACTGATAATTATCATGGTATTCCGAAAGGAAGTTTATTAGAGCCATTATTATTATTTTTATTGTATATTGATGATATTGTACACATTGCTGGAAATTGTTCAATACATTTATTTATTTTCAATGGAAGAGGTTATCAAATCTACACTTGTACAAGTGCAGAAATGGTGTAGTCAGTATAAACCCGCTTAAAATGATTACTATCTGAATATTTGAATATGTGGTCATTACGAACATTATAAAATACACCAATAGTTCTTCATTTCAACTATTGTGGAACTATTTTGTATTTACTCAAACAAAATTTGAAATGTAGGTCACAGAAGTTAAAAAACAGAGGAATTCATCACATGTCAAAAGAATTGAATTGGATGTCAGTAATCAAATATTTCCTTGTTTTAAATTAATATTCATATATAAAATTCACTTTAATGAAATGAAAAAAAAAACACTTTTGTCTAATTACCACTGGTACATTTTATTTATACGACCGGTTTCGGGTTTGACCCCATTATCAAATATAAAACTGAAATCTGAAGTTTGAAACCTCGGTTATTTCAGGTATGCTGCAAGGACAGGTATTTGAAAGAATAATATTATGCTACATTGTGTTAGCTCATATATAAATTGCAGATTGAAATATTCATTGACCCAAGAGCATTTGACCGATATAAAACTGAAATCTGAAGTTTGAAACCTTGGTTATTTCAGGTATGCTGCAAGGACAGGTATTTAAAAAAATAATATTATGTTACATTGTGTTAGCTCAAATATAAATTGCAGATTGAAATATTCATTGACCCAAGAGCATTTGACCGAGGGAATCTTGAGAACTCAATCTGTAGAATGATGGAGAAGTAGAAAGTGAAAAAGCTTTTTTTCTTATACGATAGTGTTAACTGAAAATGAATGACACTGAATCAATTTGGTCAATACCTTTTGTCACAATAAAGAGAAATACTCTGACTTTTTTTTATTTATCTACTCTAAAATCAAAGTTGCTAAATATGTCCAACAATTAGATACAAAAAATAATAAACCCTGGTTAGAAATTCACTACAAATGATGCCATGTAGTTTGCTTATAAGACTTTGATCAAACAAATCTGAAAATGACATTTTGTTTTTGCTTGAACAGCAAATTCAAATTGTTGATAGAATCGTTAAATTTAATAATAAATAGTGCTCATGGCCAACTTATCTTACTTACTTGGTACAGCTGCAGAGACATCATGATATGCCTATTGAGCATTTTGTTCTTGTGTCTAACTCTTACATGATACGGATTTATAACTTTCCATTCGTAATCCAATGCCTTCATAGCTCTATACACTTCCATCATGATGTCATTAGGTTTACTTTGGGAGCGAATACCTAAATGCCACTTGGCTCTTTTAGCTGAAAAATATATATCATTAAGCTATGAAAATAAATATTTGGAATGGAAATTCAAACAATCAATGGAAAACAACTATTTTCCTGTTTAATACTAGGACATACATTTCATTATATCCGACAGATATTTTTGCAAGGTGAATCATCAATAAAATCAAGTGAATAACATAAATCTGCCTTGGTTAGATATGTCCTGCACTGACGAGAAGTAATTCTCTGAAACCGATTCGTAGGTGATCATTTGATTCATTTCAGGAATTTCGCGATTTGAGAAGGAAATTGAGAAATGACACCAATTCAGCTCACACATTATATTCATGCAAGGTTCAGCAGGAAATTTGTAGTGATTCTAGATCATTCTGGCAGTATCTAAACAGTATACCTATGGTATACCTATGCTATGGTATGAACAATATTGAATATTCAAATGGCATTGATATAAATGCCTTTGCAAAACACTTCAGTTCAGTTTATTCAAATGACAGTGTTGATAGTTCAGCATTTACTGATAATACCAGTTTTGAACTGATATATATGCACTATATAGATCATGATGATATCATTGATGCAGCTAGGAGTTTAAGATAAAAAAATCGATTGTGCCTGATTATTATATACTACTGATTATATTCAAAGATCTTGTCGACTTCTTGTTATACCCATTTAAAACTATCTTTAACCTGTTCTTGAAAAGCAAAACAGTTCCTGACATCTGGAAAGAAATAAAGGTTATTCCAGTCATCAAAAAAGGTGACAAAACTTTTCGAGATTGTCATCGTCAAGCATCCCTATAGATTAGTTTCTCCTAAAATATCACAGTTCCAACAAGGCTTCATGCAAAAAAGATCCACTGTTAGTAATCTTAGCAATGTTACCCAATTTATAGCTGAAAACTTGGATAGTCGTGCTGAAGTGGACATTATATACATGGACTTTGCTTAAGTTTTTGATGAAGTCTCACATTCAATTCTTCTAAGAACACTAGAATATGATTTTTGTTTTCATCCCAACCTGATAAAATTTGTCAGTTCATATATATCCAATCAAAAACGAAATGTAATAGTGAAATGGCATAAGTCCAGTCCATTTATTGCATCATCTGGAGTTCCCCAGGGTTCCAACTTGGTCCTTTGTTATTTATTATATTTATCAACATTCTTGTAAAAGAATATCACATCATCTTGCTACTTGTTGTTTGCAGATGACTTGAACATTTTTAGAAGAATATCAACAGTCAAAGATTGTGCACATCGACAATACGATATAAATAATATCTTTGAATGGTCAAAAAAGAACAAATTGTTATTCAACGTTCAAAAGTGTAATACTATGATCTTCTTCCGAAAAAAATAAGTATAATACAGCTATAAGATGGATGGTACAAAACTCAACAGAACTCGAGAAATGACAGACCTTGGTATTTCTTTTGATTATGAATTATCATTTGGATCTCATATACTTGTGATGCACTGTTTGGAACCTTGGGTGTACTAATGAATATTACTGGAGTTTTATCCCAACACCAAACCGTTATTTTAACACCTCGAAACGTGTTTCGATTACCAAGTGATCATCTTCAAGAGGAAAATTAAAATAAATATACTTACAATGTTATTCTTATTTATATCATAGATACCTTTTCTAGGTACCTGCGTCTTAAGTGTCTTAAATTAATTTCACAATATTGCCTTATCTACTAGTCTTAAATTAGTTTTACAATGTGTCCTTATGTAGTACTCAGGTAAATCTAATAATTAAAATATTATTTCAACAAGCTATATAGTATACTATTAGGTATTGGTCCACCATCCTTATTCATAATATTATTATGTTTACTCATTTCTACACTCTCATAGGCATCTAGATGCCTATTGTTGTTATCTTGTCTAACTAATCTTAATGTCTATAGAATGGTTTTGTTGCAAAATATGATGGGCAACTGCTGATTTTTCTGGTCTTCCATATTTTAGGTGTGCTAAGTGTTCCTCATATCTTATTTGAATAGATCTTTTTGTCTGTCCATAATATTTGGCATCGCAGTCGTTACATTTAATTTAGCAAATTCCAGACTTTTCTGAATTCTTGATGATAACATTGTAACATGATAACATTGTATGTATATTTAGTTCAACCTTCCTCTTGAAGATGATCACTTGGTGATCGAAACACGTTTCGAGGTGTTAAAATAATGGTTTGGTGTTAGAAAAACTCCAGTAATAGATCTCATATACTGAATATAACAAAAAAACATCAAAGATTTATGGGTTTGTGGTTCGCAACTCTAGGCAATTCAACAATATTACCTGCATCTGTACCTGTATATCACTCTTTCAGGAGCATCATTATTTGGTGTCCTCAATATAACTGTCACAAGTATAGCATTGAAAGAGAATCAGAATCATTTATTTCATTCATAGGCCCTGTTGGGCATAGAACATGTCAATTATAAAGTTACATTACAAACAACTTAACAAGTAAAAAAGTTTAAAAATAATTAACACATATATACAGTGGTCAGAGTATTATTTCATATCAAGAAATTCATTTAAATCATAAAATAGATTTATGTGTAAGAATTTTNTCTTTATTTCTGAGTGTGTTTATAATTTTCTATGAGGTTTTACTTTTATTTTCCGAATGTGCTATTTTTTTACTAAAGTATTGTTTTTTACATTCTTCTACTAGACGTGAATGTTGTTTTTTCTTGATCTTATAACTTTCACGAAGTTCATTATGTTGTTTTTGTAGGATATATAGATCTTTCAACTTTTTGCTAGAATCCTTGAGATCGTCGTCACCCAGCTGGTTCTTCTGTGGCCATTTTTATGCTTTCTGTAAGGAAAGGGGAAACACTGGTAAAATATAATTTTAAATCTTTTGAAAAAGAGGTTGAACATCTCGTCGGGTTCATTCTTTTCATATATCTTACTCTAGGTCTCGAATTTCAACATTTCTGAAAACTTCTGTTTGTTTTTGTAGTTAAAGTATTGACTATATGTCTGTGATGTTTTAACAGTTTTATTCAATTCATTTGTATTAACCATTACCATTATAGATTTGTGAGCCGACAGAGATGTATCTGTAAGGATTATCTTTGCTTTAACATTCCCAAAAATGTTGTCGATTCTGGTACTACTGTGATCAGTTACTCTGGTATTTTCGAAAACCAATTCATCAAGTCCAAATTGAGACATAATATTTATGATTTCTCTTGCTTCTAGGAAAGAAGTATCAAAGTTTATATTAAAATCGCCGGTAACCCAGATACTTGCGTCTACTGAAAAGCAGGTGTTGAGAGTTGCTTCCAGTCTAGAGAGGAATAATTGAAAGTTTCCAGTGGGAGCTCTGTATATGTTCATAATGACATGCTTCTCTCCATTTGAGGTCCATTTCAGGCAGCATGCCTCAAAATCTTGTTCAGAACTGTATTCTCTGACATCTATTATGTCTGCCTCAATATCTTTCCTAGCGTAAATGGCACAGCCACCTTTACGGAGGATCGACCTACCATAGTAAGTTATCAGTTTGAATCCATTGATTGAGATATTACACACTTCAGTATCCTTAGCCCATGTTTCTACTATTGCAATGAAGTAGAAGTTTCTCTCGTTTAATTCCAGCTCTAAAAGATGGTTTTTGTTTCCTATACTACGGACATTCATGAAAAATATGAAGTCAACTAGTTCTTTTGCGGTGGTACCGCGTTTTGGCGGTCTTATATTATTTTGCATGACTCCTGTAGACGGTTTAGGGTTTAGGCAGCGTTCTGTAAATTTTTGTCCATTTGTGCATGGTTGTGTTTGGGTAGATGTTTCAGTTAGGTTGCCTTTCGTGTTTATAAAAAAAAATTTGGTCAACTATCTTCATCATTTACTTGATTATCTAAGAAGTGTTGCCCTAGCTTGAAATTAAAACGATTAAACCTTATTTTGTTCGGCCAGAAGCTTGGATCGTAGATTTGGTCTTTCAGGTGAAATTCTACTCCAATCATGAATGACTGATTATCTTTTTTTTATATTTTGCGTCTCTAATTTTTTTACGGAGATATATTCTGACTCAGTGCAATCTTTTATATATTTGTTTATATGTTCCCCTGTAACTCGATCGGGGACATGTGATACAAATAACCATATTTTCTTATCTTTGTTTTCCGCAGAAACCTTCATCACCATCTCCGCTTCCTACATTATACCTTCTTTTCCATTGTGATACTGTTTTGTATTCTTATGTATCCTGATCTTCCTGTTTTGTTAGATTTATAATTTCATTCATTTTCTTTTCGGTTTGGATTTGAAGTAATTCACCAGCTACCTGGTTAGCTTTGATATCTGGGACACACTGTCTACGGAAGTTCCCTCCTGACTCAGGTTGCTTGTTTTTACTGCTTTTTCCTGATTCACTGAATGAATTTTGATTGTTTATGGTTTTTTGCAGTGGCCTCTTTTTACTGGTGGTGACTTTTTCTTCTGTTTCATTAGAGTTTTTGTTTGTCCAGATGTATCGTTTTGTAGATATATTAGTTTATTTTTTAGGGATGGTATTTTATTATTTAATAGTGAAATTATATATTCTTTATCACTTAAGATTGTTTCTTTATCCCTGATAATTTTTTTCAGGAGACTATGTTCTTCCTTTAGGAATACTTCCTCTGTCATGTGTGGTGGGTCATTCATGCTCTGGTTCTCTGCTTCATATCTGCATTCTGCTTTTTTCGATTCACTGGGTTGTTTTAAACATGCTGGATGATAAGTCTCTCCACATTTTATGCACTTATTTACAACTTTTTTCAGACAATTTTTGCAAGTAGAGTCACTGTTTTCTTTAGCGTGTTGTGGCACTGAACTCACATCACCCACCATATCTAAGAGTTCAAAACAAGTTTCTGAGATATCTTCACTTCAAAGAAACAGGTAACTATGGCCTTCATATTTACAAAGTAGTGCTATTTAAAAAGTACAACATACAAACCCTCGAGAAAAATAGTGTATTTGCATACTTAATATACCATTGCATCCATACTGAAGTAGATGATCCCCGTCTTCTATCAAAAATCAATTTCAATGTATCTGCTTATGAAACTAGATTGTTTCACACATTTTATATTGAATTGGCAAAAACAAATTATAAATGAAAATGTTCCATTAAATGCTATGTGCAATGCCTATAATAATGTACAAATTGACGGTGATATCTTCTTCCAAAATCTTACTAGTTTTAGAAATAGGTTGTATCAAATTGTATAACTCTTTGAATATTTCTTTTTAACTTGTTTGTCATTTTGTAGTATGTACAAATCTATTTGTGATATTTACCTTTCCTAATCTGTAACTGGGCCATGGTCTGTAGAGTTTGTAAATAAATAAATGTACTACTGCTGGACGAACGAGAAACATGTGAAAACTTGCACAAATATTCATCAGATATAATCTATTCTCTGCCATGGTTTTAGCTAGAGGAATAGTTGTTTTTCAACAAGTATTAACCAGATCCAACTTATAGAAATAAATGGGGATTGTACAAAAATTTACAGAGATATCTACCCAAGATGTTCGTGTTTGAAGGAAAATCTTTCTTATGCAGAAAACTGAACAATTATGACATGAGGGCGAAAGGACTTCAGTCGATAGCAAGTTGAGCAAAATTGTAATTTTGTTCAATAAAAAACAATCTATATTATTTAAAATATAAACTAATTGAATGAATAAAATAAAATACTCTGTCTGACCATTCTTTACATAAATGAATTTTCTGCTATAATCAGAGCCTCACCTCTTTTTTCAGTGCTACTCACAGGTGGCTTCTGTGGAATAATTCTTTCAGGGTGGGGTTTCATTGGACTGCTATACTCGGATGTGCCACTACCCATTAAGTTAACTGGTGGTGGACTACCAGCAACATAAAAATCTTTCATTTCAGCTTTAGCAGCTTCATCAGCGATTCGCTTATTGTCAATTATTAAGTGGTAGGCTATGGCTAATTGATCATGGGGATCCCCACTCAGAAGGGCACTGTGAACCTCTGTCTCTTGAACTCCAAATTTATCACATACCTAAAACACAACATTCAATCAAAAAGATTCCAATAGAAATGGTTGAAGATTCTTACTTCTTTTATGGCATCAGTATCAATGACCGACGAGTCCTGTTCTACAGGGGAAGGGAATAAATAGGCTGGGCATTCCTTTTGGAACCAGTCATGCTTTTTTATATCATCTATACTAGCTCTTTTCATTGGATCTATCTGTAACATTTGACAAAGCAGGTTGACTACCTGCTTATTCAAATACTCTGGGATAGGAAATATTCCTGCTTTGATTTTTCGAAAGAGAGTGGGGACATGCTCATCATCAAATGGCAAAGTACCACAAAGCAGAGCATAAAGGATTACCCCACATGACCATATATCTACTTCAGGTCCTGCATATAACTTTCCGGATATAACCTTGAATATAAATAATATAATTATTTATACAAAAAAGAATGTTTAGCGAGTGTGCTGATACACACTAATAAAAAAAGCTATTAGACAAATATTCGATGGAATTGGCGGATATTTGAAGAAAATCCATGATAACTCATTTGAATAATATTTATTGCGAGATTTTCTCTCAACAGTTTACAAAAATCTCAACATACGTTTCCTTATATGATAGCTTCTTCGAGTGTTCAGTACTCATACGAGCTCCTCGATTTTTACTTCCAACTGAACAACAACTATTTATATATTTATGCATCCACTACTCTTACATTAATAATTCAATTGAGAAATGCGAAATAGGAAGATTGTTAACATCATTTTGCACAATGGTAAATGTCTTGTTCAGGTATTGAATATTCCCTTAATTTTACCTAAACCTCTTAAATAAGCTCCCCTCACTTCCTCTTGTAGAGATAGCACCAAAAGAAAAATCAGATAGAAAGTACTATAGAAGAAAATCTAATATTCAATGAAATCAACAATTTTCTTCTCTATACACAATCGAACATTTCTAAATTCACTTCCCTTACATGGGAAAAAATAGCAAAATATCTTTGGCCTAATAAATGACTCAATTATGACTTTATTACTCTATTGATGCTGTGAAAGTGGTGAAATGTGTTCTTTAAATCACCCCAGTTGAGCTTGCAGAACTACTTTGGATTTTTACTTAATTTTCAGGCCATAATTTAGACTAATTTTGTACTCTATTCCCGGATATTTACTCTTCATTTAACGGACATATCGTCGCTCAACTTCAAGCTAGCAGGACTGAACCACAGAAAAAACATTTTGAAAATGTCCTTATAGGATGAAACTGCAGTAACAGTAGTTACAAATAAAAGTGGCAAAAAACATAGACTGTTTCAATTCTCTTTTCTTCATTGTTCAAGTCAGTTAATTCTTTAATTCGTTACAATATGTTAAACATTAGTGAGTTCTGCTAGCGTAACTGTAAAAGTGGCAGAAACAAATTGAAATCCTCCACTTTCTAGAAATTAACAACTTCAAATAATTTTAGGCCCTTTCGTTACCCTATTGAACAACTTTTTACCTCTAGTTTGAATTGAATAATTGGATGACTAACTTGATAATGTCTAACACAGTAGTGGAGGAAATGTCAGGTGTAAAACCATGCAGATCATGGCCAAAAACCTGGAAAATAGCTTTAACACAGATATCCTCGGCTGTGACAGTTATTGAACAAATATAGGTTTCTGAAAGTCAAATTTCAGTTTATCTGAAATCTCAGCGGAAAAAAATTATCGAATTTTGAAGTAGAACCCATGTATATTCACTGAATATGAAAAAAATGGAGGAAGGTTATACCTCTGGAGCAGCATAGTTTGGTGATCCACAGCTGGTTCTCAGAAATTCACCATCCATCATCATGTTGGACAATCCAAAATCAGCAATTTTTACATGCATATTGTGATCGAGCAATAAATTCTCTGGTTTCAAGTCTCGATGGACAATCATATGTCTATGACAATAATCAACACCTGATATAATCTGCTGAAAAAATCTTCTTGCCTCATGCTCATGTAGCTTTCCATGTTTAACGATGTAATCAAAGAGTTCTCCACCAGATACATATTCCATTATCATGAATATATCAGTGGGAGTACTTATAACTTGGTAAAGTTTAATAATATGAGGGTGTCTAAAAAGTTTCAGGTTCTGAATCTCTCTTCGAATTTTTCCTACCACATCTAAACTTTTAATTTTTTGTCTGTTCAAAATTTTGACAGCTACTTTATGTTTTGTAAGCTGATGTTCTCCCATTTTAACTTTTCCAAAAGTACCTACACCCAAAGTTTTTCCTAAAATGTAGTGTCCGATTTTCACCAAGGGCTGTGCCCCTGGTTTACTTTGTTCAGACATGTTTCAGAAACCAATTAAAATTTTTTGATAACTCCACAAGTAATTCAAGTCATGAAATAACTAATTTTCATAAACGTTTGAATCTTTCAAAAATATTCTTCCATATAAAAACATTATTATCCTATAATTTATACAGGTTATGTATGTTCGTTGACATGTTGACAAATGACTACAGATTACAGAAAAGTTTAAATTTCAGTGTTCTGTAAAAATGACTTCTGTGTGACTGTGATGACTGTGGGTTCTCCTTACATTAACTACAAAGAGTTTGTTCATGTTCCTACTTCACTTCCATTTTTTGTGAAGTAACTTGGAATCTTTTAATTTTCAATTTTCTTATTTCTTGTTAATAATTTTTTAATTTTCATCTCGTGTAAATCGTTAATTTTTTTTGTTTTTTTGGTTGTTGCTTGTATTTTATCTCATTGTAATTTCAGCTAATCTTTTTTCAATCTTTTACAGATTCTTTCAGGGATTTCAAATCATTTTATATCATATTAGACAATGGAAGTCCGGACTAATGAACTGCAGCACGAAACATCGTCAACCAACTTCAAACATAAAAAAATCAAACTAACTCTTGAAGTTCGTTTAAAATGATATGAGAGGCTTCGTCCGAATAAATATCTTCATAGCAGTTGCTGTTCAAGCAATAACATATGACAAGTTTCATTACCTTCCAAGTGGTTGCTGCCTACGAAAATACAACAATAAACATCTAATCAAAAGTTTCCTTTAGTTTTGCGATTACGCTAGAACTATCTGACGGTCCTTTCAAAAATATTCCTCCCTTCTCTTCAGGTTTGACCTTGAAATGTCAAAATAAACATTCATATGTTCATCACTTTCATCAGCTGTCAGAGTCAAAGAATAATATCAACATGTTTTAATTGTGGAAATGGATTGTGAGAAATATGTAAAAAAATACAATTTTCAATGCTTTTTTGTTTTATATTGTTGAACAATCATTATTAAATGACATTTATTATTGTGGAAGTCTTATCTAAAAATAGTTGTTGATGATTGAAGCTTCATCCTTTGTGATAGTAGAAAATATTTATTAATTTAAAATGTCTACCCCAGTTCAAGAGAATAATTTCAACTTTAATAACTCACCAAATCAAAATGCACAATCACCTCTTGAATTCTGTGAGTATTTCAAAGCAAATTTCATTGAATAATTAATATATTCCAGTAAAGTAGAATTCAAATTGTAGAAAAACTTTCAATAATGTTATTATTGTTAATGTTCAATAAATGGTTCTTTCGAACCATTTTATATTTCAGCATATTCCCACAGTGTTAATACAATTTCTTCAGTTAGGGATTATATCATTTCTGAAGATTTGATGGCTGGACAAAGGCTAGATGGAAGGATGTCGAATGTTAGGCGGTTTTTCTGTCTGTTTGTTACTTTTGACTTTTTGTTTACATCCTTAATGTGGCTTATTTGTGTCATGGTAAGTTTCTCAAATATTTTAATTTTTAGTATCACATATTTACTGTAAAATTCAATAACTATTTGAGAATTAGTGACAAGATTGTATTAAAACTGTTCAAATTTTCATCTGTAGATATGGAAGAATTATAAAATAGCTGGACAAGAAATATGAAATAACTGTAGAGGAATTATTCAATAGGTGTGAGAGGAGCCATCTCATGATTCTTGAACAAAGAACTATTTTTATTAACACACACACTTCCTCTTAGACCACATAATAATTTGAAATTTAATGTGAACTGCAATGACTGGTTTACATTATAAGTAATCAAATTTTTATATTTTCAAAAGCCAAAATATATTCTAGTGTAAGCAATCAATCAGGTGTATGCTAGATCAAGAGCTGTACAAATATCTATTTTCCAAGACTGACACTTTTCCCAATCACCATAAATGTAATACCCTTCTTGGCGCCAACCAGCTTGGCATCTTCTGCATCTTCTGTTAGTGAAATGTGATCCGAGAATATTGCATTTCTGGTAGTTGATAAAAGTGCCAGTGGACTTATTTTATGCTAAAGGTTCCAGTTTTACTTTTTATCATCTGTTATTATAAGATACACTGAACAAGTCCCAGATTAACTATTGAACAAAACAATTAACAAAATTGAAAAAAAAATTCTAAGTAAATGTAATCTAGATGTATGTTTGTGCATATATAATTTCAAATATGTTGACAGTAGTTTACGAAATTCTCAATAATTTGTATTGATTTTTTTTTATTAAAAAGGCAATATATATGTAGAAAATTTCTACAAAAAAATATGTATCTATGAAAAATAATTATTGAATGTCCACAATAAATTTCAATTATGACATATTTTGCTACACAGTAGCTTCATCAGTTGGACTGGTACATCAAAACAAGTATTCTACAATGTATTTTATACAACAGTAGGTAATTACCAAACCTAAATTTAATTCTGGTAAAACAGGTAGATTTTGAAAAATCAATTTCAATACAATATTACTTCTAGGAAAACAGATAAAATTATGGCATTTTATGTCAAAAGTTGATGAGAGTAATTCTAGTAAAAGAGGCAGGTTTTGAAAAAACAATTAGGTACAATAAAATATTACTTCTAGGAAAACAAGAGATTTATAAATATGTTAGTTCTTGACATTTTATGAAAACCTGTTTAAAAAAGATAATTGAATAACTTCTTGTTGGTTGTTTGAAAGAAAATTTCAATATTTGCGTTTATTGATTTCCAGAGATTCATGAGGGTGTAATTTTTGACCTTTATTTTCTGTATGTAATATGTCTTATTTCGAATTGAAATCGTGGTTGTTCTCTAAAAAGTAGGTAGAATTGATTTTCTTTAGTACACAATTACTTTTATGTTTGGAGATTCTATTTTTTATAAGTATAGTAAGTAAGATTTTTATAAACTTTTTAAATGACCAACAAGAAGTTATTCATTCACCATTATTGAACTTGTTTTCCAGAAATGTTATTAATTAACATATTCATATAAATTTCCTGTTTTTATAGAAGTTATGTTGTATTGTAATTGTTTTTTCAGAATTTACCTGCTTTACCAGAATTAATAATTTATCTAATTAAGTTTTATAATTACCTACTGTTATATAAGAGACATTGTAGAGTAGTTTGATATACCAGTTCAACTGATGAAGCTAACTTGTTGGAAATAGCATCTTAAATGAAATTTATTGTGAAAATTGGATGGTGTTATTAATTTTCATTAAGTAACAGGTCAGTGTATTTTCATAAAGGCCCTCTTAAATTATTTTCCTCCTGAAATTAAACAAAGCAAAAATTTGAATGTATTCAAAATGAATTTTACTTTTTGGGAAAGAAAGGTTTTGGCTTCCTAATTCTCCATATTGTTACAAAAAAATGTGGGAATCTTCCAAAGAAAGGAACGAAGTAATCAATTTTAAAAAATTAACTCCATACAGATATGTATAGGTCATGCAAAGAAGTAACTTCCTGAAATAGCTACTTATATAAGAACATTGAATTACACAAAAGCAAAAAATTAATCTCTCCTAAAAATATACCCCTCTCAATTTGAAAAGTTTTACTATATTGTGGTCATTATTTTTGATGTTTAAATTAGTTTATTTGTTTTATATGGTTATATGTTAGAGTTGATTAATTATTATGTACTTTAAACAAATTCCTATTATATTCCTTCTGATAAAGGCGAATTTATTAAAATCAATGATGTACAGGATCGTAATACAAGAAAAAAAATTATATATATTCACATTATGTGACTTCACTAAAACAAAGAAACCCCAAAACTTCATCATTAAAATGTTTCCAGTGGAAAGCTATTTATATGCCACTTGATTTTCAGCAATATTCATGTATTTTAACATATGATTTTTAAATATTAGTAGCAATTAAATTGAATAATGAATGTGCAACCAATCTGTTGAAAATTATTGAAATCATTTTGAAATTGAAATTATTGAAAACATTTTATTTTTTAGCTAAATGGTGAATATATAGTTACTGCATTATCAGAACAAGTTATTCATTATAATATTCACACTTCCCTATTTGATATTGTGTCTGCAGCCTTCCTTAGATTTTCCATTTTGATAGTCTTTTATGCATTCTTTTATATAAACCATTGGATTGTGATATCGGTAAGTTAAAAAATCTGTTTAAATGTGAATTTAAAGTATAGTTATTCTAGTTATCAACTGCTTCCACATGTGTGTTCCTCATTGCAAAAGTATTTTATTATGACGTGAGTACTATCTAAGTATTATTAGTATGTAAGTAATACAGTGCTTCTTGAAAATAATGGATACATTCTATAATCTATATAATCGTTGACCAAAATATTGCATACATATTTTCGGATACATAAGAATTGATAAAGGCTAATCAATATTTACTAAAATGTATTGCAGTAAGAAACCATCAATAAAACGATTTCCTTGATTTAACGAATTTTTCAAAATCCGCTAGAACAGCCCCTATAATGCGAAATATACTTTTACATTATGAATGCATTCGTCAAAAACCTTTTTATAACGAATTTTAATTATTGCGAAATATAAATAGAAAGTATTATTTACTTCTATTTAATGAATTTCGTCAACTTATAACCTCAATATAATGAATTCTATCAGTTATCTACATTCAATTTCACAATTAAATTCATGTCTTGATAGGTTCTAATTTCAATTTTACGTAAGACAATCATTATTGTTTGAAGTTCAGTACTGTGAACACTGCTGTTTGACACTGTTGTTGTTAGTTCTAAAGTTTGCAATGACTGATAAACGAAAAAGGTGGTCTTAAGGGTCACAGAAAAACGAAAAGTCATTAAGTATTTAAACGAGAATCCTATACTGAAAAAAATAGACATTGCTAAAAATTTCGAAATTCCCACTAGTACATTGGCCACAATTTAAAAGTTTGGAGATAAATTTTCAGAAGAAAGTGTGTTGCGTGCAAACAGTAAAATAATAAAATTATATGAATACACGGCCCTAGAGGAATGTATTTTGAAATGGTTAAAACAGTGCCGGGACAAAAATGTGGCAATCGGAGGCCCTATTCTTTAAGAAAAGGCTCAACAGTTTGGGACATGCAGAGTTTTGTGCTAGCAACGAGTGGCTTAAAAAGGAATAGATTTTTTTTCGAAAAATATGTGGTGGAAGTGCTAGCGTCGATGATGAAGTATGTGAAGAGTAAAAAGACAATCTTGCAGAGCAGACCGTGGGTTATGAATCTGAAGACATCTTTTACGTCGATGAAACAGGACATTTCTATAAATGTTTACCTGACAAGACCTCATCATTTGAAGGCGATGAATGTCATGGTGGCAAAAATAGCAAGCTTCGTTAGCTAGGAACAAACTGTACCGGGACGTACAAACTTAAGTCACTCATCATTGGAAAAATATAAAAGACCACGATGTTTTAAAAATGTCAATAATTTGCCAACAGATTACACGTTAAACACTGAGGCTAGGATGACCTGTGATGATCTTAACAAATGACTTAAAAATCTCAACAAACATTATAAAAAAAAAAGAAAACTTCAACCACTATACCAAGGCATTATTCAAACCTTCAAAATGCACTATAGGAAGGAAGTTGTCAGACAGTTTCTTATTGATATTGAACTACAAACATCAACTACAATTGACGTGTTATAATATATATGGATGATTGTCAAAGCTTGAAATCAAGTCAGTGAAAAAATCATCACAAACTGCTTCAAGAAGAGTGGCGAATAAAGAGAAATAAATTATCGAGTGGATATTCAAAAACTCCGCCTTATTGTTGAACACATATTTGGCCCCTTCTCTTGATACTATGTGTTGCTTTCAACACAATTTGGCCATCAATTCTTTTGATTAAAGTTTCAATATAATTTTTCAGTTTATCTACATTATTATGTAGAAATCCCCAAAAATAAAAATCTAGAGGTGTCATGTCTGGTGACTGTTTCCAAAACAGTCTCACAATATTATGTGAAAATTATGTGCTGGTGCTCCATCCCTCTGAAAAACTCTTCCAACATTCTTGTTAATAAATTAGTGTAGCGGGGTCCGTTCAAAGAACCATGGTAGAAAAATGGACCGATAATTCTGCCTCAAAATAGACCATACCAAACATTAATACTAAATCGTCTTTGCGGATTGTGGGGATGGATTAGAAATGGATTATGTCTACTCTTTATGTCTACTCTAATAATGAAAATTATTTCACACACATACATTACAGAATTTGAAAAATTAGCCAGATCGCTTAATATAATATTTCTATAGAAGTTGGGATCTTGTCTGCATTTATTCATAAACCAGCAAAAAAACCCCAATCGTCTCTCAGGGTCACAAGGTTCTAGTGTTTGCACTGATCTTAACTTATAAGGAGAAATCTTATGTTTCTACAGAACTCGTTGAACAACAGACGGTGGAACAGCTATTTCTTTAGATACATCTCTGATGGAATTATTTGGATTTACTTCAAAGTAAGCTAAAAATTCAATTTCAATATCTTCAGATACTACAGTCCTCCTCTTCTCAAAAACTTTTTCATTGTTCCTGAATCGACGATGAAGCACAACAAAAAACCCCGATTAGGTAATTCACGATCGGGAAACGAATAACTGTAGTGTTGGAGTGCTCTTACACTGTTTTTCTGGCAAACCAAGTAGGATTCTAACACATTTTTCTTGATGAAAAAAACACATTTTGAAAAATATTCGAACATTAGTTGACAGTTAGGTACAATAATTTATGACATTGTCATGATATAGTTGAGAGTATTTATCAAATATTATTTCAACAAAGTTAAGACAACTTGATTACTCATATTAATTCTGTTTTGTCGAATCAAACACATTTTTTTCCAACCACATTATTATGCGTACATAATAATGCGGTTGGAACGTTCTGTACAAAAACGGCTTCAATGTTATCATTATAGCAATATTTTGATTCATAAAATAAATACGGCTAGTGAAATGTCTTTAATATGGGAATTATCGTTTTGTAAATTAATTGTAACAAAATATTGTCATTCGTATAAGTACTAAAATTGGGTTTTTGGACAATCATGAGGTTTTATTTGCCAAAACAAAGAAATTTTTTTCAAAACTGAAATAAATAAATAATTCCACATAATTCGCTCAACTTTAGGAAGAAAGGTAATATGAGCTTTGTTGTTGAGAATATTATTACGAATCGAAATGCATGGTAAAATATAGTAAAGATAAGAGAAATGAAACTTTCTATATTTTTTACCACTTTTATAACTTATACAAGTTATTGTATATGTTTGAAAATGTCCTTATAGGACGAAACTGCAGTATCGTTAGTTACAAATAAAAGTGGTAAGAAACATAGAAAATTTCATTTCTCTTTCTTCTTTATGTTACTACCACCTAGTAACGGCTACATCCATCAAATCATTGATAAATATAGGGTGTTCCATTTAAGAAAATATCACTTTATGAAATATTTTGAAAACGCGATTGTCATTTTTTTTGTTTCCGGCATCGAAAAGGTTATTAAAAATGCTACTAGTTTGCCCAATTTTTTATCATACTAAATTTCATATGAAATACTATTCATTACTGAAATAAATAAATAATTCCACATAATTCGCTCAACTTTAGGAAGAAAGGTAATATGAGCTTTGTTGTTGAAAATGTTATTACGAATCGAAATGCATGGTAAAATATAGTGAAGATAAGAGAAATGAAACTTTACCACTTTTATAACTTATACAAGTTATTGTATAAGTTTGAAAATGCCTGTATAGGACGAAACTGCAGTATCGTTAGTTACAAATAAAAGTGGTAAGAAACATAGAAAATTTCATTTCTCTTTCTTCATTATGATTTCCTACCACGTAGTAACGGCTACATCCATCAAATCATTGATAAATATAGGGTGTTCCATTTAAGAAAATATCACTTTATGAAATATTTTGAAAACGCGACTGTAATTTTTTTTGTTTCCGGCATCGAAAAGGTTATTAAAAATGCTACTAGTTTGCCCAATTTTTTATCATACTAAATTTCATATGAAATACTATTCATGGATTGAACAGTTTGGGGAATGTCGTTTCTAATTCGGATTTTCTACTATTTGTTTTTTAGTGGCCACATTCTTCTCAACCAGTTTTTGAGGTACTTTTAGTTTTGGTATCATTTATTTTAGCTTGGGGTGAAGCTTGGTTCCTAGATTTTAAAGTTATACCTCAGGAAGTACATGCCAGCAGGTTTTTAACATGTGAGTATTTCAAACAGAATGATTCACCAAATGTTAAAAATAAGTATTATGCATATTCTTTGAAAGACATTTTTTGTAGGGGACTCAATATTTCTTAATGTTTTTTTGGGTATATAACCTTCTACAATTTGCAAAAATAAACGAAAATAAATCAAAAGAGTTAGAGCTCTTCACAAATTGAGGCGAACGTTTTAAAGTGAATTCCAGGTTCTGGAAAGGGAAAAAGATTGTTTTCCGAAAAGTCAATCACTAAAGGAAGCTAAGTATAAATGTTTAATTTTTTCAAATTGATTTTTTCAATTTGTAAGCAAAATTTATAAATAGGACAAGTTACTGACTAATTGCACTCTTCAGTGGTTTCTACTTCCCAGTAACTATTCGGGGTGAACTTTTCAGTTTGTCCTTTATTCATCAGCAGATTCTCTATTGATTTAGCTTTTTTTTATAAGGACAAGGACAAAATACAAGCACTACAGGAAAGTCCTTGAGGTGCTCTAAGAGCGGTGCCTGTGCGAAATTCACGTTGGATTTGAAACACTGGAGAATAAATTCGTTTGAAAAAACGTTCTCAGGAAGTTCATTCCACATAAACGCAGTTCTCCAAATGAAAGAGTTCTTAAACAGTGAAGTTCGAGGTGTACTTTCTCTTTTTGGAGAAAACCGATGCCTGGGTTTTCGTGGCATTGGATTGAATCTGATTAGTTTCACCCCAATTCGAAATCACCTCTAGATCCTCATTAAGATATCTCCTGCTACCGGTGAAGATGTGCATCCGCAGCCAATGTCCTGGGAAGTGAAGCAGAAGCAGATGATATATTCAACATTATGGCCCAGTTTGGGTTATATGGCATAGTATCCGAAAATACCAGAGTTACTCCTTCTAGTAGTACAAGAATTGACAATGTTTTTGCAAATTTCGAGAAGGAGGCAGTGACATCAGTAAATGATACCCACATCTCCGATCACCGATTCATAATTGTTAAGATTAATTCAATGGAAATGTATTATAACAGTAAAAATAATCTATCAATTCAAAAACGGTACTTCAATTCCTCAATAAACAACGATTTAGAAATGTCCTAACAGCGGAAACTTGGGGTGAGGTATATAATACAAACGATTGTAATCATAAATTCAACATCTTCTTAAATAGTTTCTTTGATATATATGATAGATGCTTTCTAATGCCAAGAAGAAAGAATCAGAGTAATAAAAAAAATTGGATTACTGCTGAGATCAAAAACTCTAGCGAGAACCTGAAAGATCTGTTCATTCTACAAAAGCAGCATGCTGAAATGCAAAATTACTACAAATCTGCGAAAAAAGAACACATGCATCTCGTCAAAACTGCAAAAAAACATTCTATAGTACTTTAATTAGAGAAATCTGAAAATAAAAATAAAACCTCTTGGGAAATCATCAACAAACTAAGAAATAAAACAAGTAACTCTTCTAAGTTGAAAATTCTGCATGATAATAGTGAAATTACCAACCTCAAGATAATAACTGACACATTCAACAATTTTTTTATTGAAGCACCTAGGAGCGTAGCAAACTCTATAAAAAAAAATAGGTAAATTTGATTTTTCGGGGAAAAGCAACACAAACTCTATTGTTTTGATGCCTTTTACTGAAGATGAAATGTTCTATATTGTATAAAAGCTGAAAAATAAAATGTCTACAGGTCCAGATGATATTCCCTCTGCTTTAATCAAGAAATTTGGTAAAGATATAGTCAGTATTCTAACCCATTTAGTAAACCATTCATTTGCATCGGGCATATTTCCAAACTGTCTTAAATCAGCAAAGGTAACTCCAGTGCATAAAAAAATGAAAAAAACCAACATTAACAATTACAGACCAGTATCAGGTCTCTCTTCGTTTGCAAAGGTGAACGAATATTGTATGCTAGACAGACTAACTCCCTTCATCAATAAATACAGACTTACACCAGACCAGCAGCACGGTTTTCGGAAGGGAAAATCCACAACAACTGCAACAGTTGACTTATATAATAATGTATTAACCTAGATCGACAAAAGAAACTCCCCTGTTGGAATTTTTTGCGACTTAAGTAGGGCTTTTGACTGTATTCCTCATAAGGCACTGCTACAAAAACTTTGTCTTTGTGGCATACGAGGAATTGCATCCAAATGGTTCGAATCATATCTTTCCGATAGAAGTCAGTTTGTCCTAATTTGTTTCAAAGAAATTGACGGACCTATCAGTAAGCACCGCTCAGATGCCTCGCAACTGGAGCTGGGAGTGCCACAGGGTACTGTTTTGGCCCCAATACTATTTTCTCTATTCATTGCTGACATAGTGGAATTTTTACCTGAGTATAACATCACGCTGTATGCCGATGACTCATCTTTTCTTGTGTCCCAGGAATGCAGTGAAATGAATGAACAAGCTTGTAACCATCTTCTTGGTAAACTAGGACTATGGTTTTCCGCTAATCAACTACATTTCTATATAGAAAAAACTGAGTATCTAATCTTTCACACCAGACAAAGAATAATAAACAATCCACTCTCAATCAAACTGAATGATATAAATATCAAAAAATCAATAACAAAATTCTTGGGTATAAACCCTGGAATGTGGTTGATATCGGCAGTCTGAGAAATTTCTACTTTGCGGAAATCCAGTCTATTCTACTTTATGGCATTTTACTATGGGGAAACTCTCCGGCTGCACAGCATCTATTTCTTATTCAGAAAAAAGCAGTAAGAACTATAAAAAAATGTATCACCCAGGAATTCCTGCAAGCCATTGTTTGCCGAATTGAATATTCTTCCTCTAGCCTGTCTTTATATGATGGAAGTTGCTTGCTACATTCATAAAATGAAAAACTCTTCCCAGGCATTCGGACATGCATGTCTACCAAACCAGAAACAATCAGCTAATCTATCCAAATCATAGCAATCTCCAAATAACATCAAATGGACCACTCTCAACAGGTGTAAGAATTTACAATCAATTATCCACTGGCATTAAAATTCAGCCTACACACTTCAAATTTCGAAACTTCATAAAACGCTTTCTGCAAGAAAATTTATTTTATACCATTGATGATATTCTGTTGTTTTCGGTTGTTCTTTTTTGTTGTTTTGTCAGGAGAACACTGTTAAAAATATAACCCCTTCAATTCAAACACTGTAAACTACAGTAAATTACAATCGACGACACTCTCAGCTGGCACTGTCATACTCAAAAACTGAACAGCGAGCTTAGCAGTACAATATTTCTCTTGAGAAGATTGAGATATGTTGTAGGTCCCGCATCACTCAGACAAATATAGTTCGCTTTGTTTCACTCGCGTATTAGCTATGGATCCATTCTATGGGGAAATTCCAGCAATGCGCTAAACATCTTCAGATCACAGACGAAAGCTATTCGTCTTCTGGCTGGAGTCGGACTGAGAGAACACTGTCGTCCCCTCTTTACTGACATGAAAAAAATGACACTACCATGCATTTACATATATCAAACCCTTTTTTAAATACACTCAAACAAAGGAAACTATACTGTTTCGTCAGATCTTCACAAATACGACACGAGATCAGCAAACCAAATAGCACTAAAACGTTTCAGGCTAAATAAGTCGAAGTCAACCATCACTGACTACTGAAACGAGAGGTGGAGCGAGTGTTTGGAATCTCTCGAACCTGGGGATGATGAGCTATGGCGAGTCACCCGCAGGCTCGAGAAGAGGAAAACCGCTTCTTCCCCTCTTCTGGGACAGCGCGGCATCTGCTACTCCCCCGCCGAGATGGCGTTGAGCTTTGTAGACACAATGGAGAGTCAGTTCCAACTTAACGTTGATCCGGATGATGATATTGACCGTGATATCCGGCTGGAACAGCGGGTTCGGCGCATCCTTATGGAAAATGATGACGACGTGATCTGTCCAGCTTCAGAGGAAGAACTGAGGGGGTACATTAGGGCCTCCAAACCCAAGAAGGCTTCGGGAATTGATTCAATCAACAATAGGTTGTTGAAGCAGCTCCCGGAGAAATTCATCAGACACCTACTGGACATAATCAACAGTTCAATCGCTTTCAGATACTTCCCCCCGAAGATGGAAGCATGCCGTAGTCGTCATGATTCCGAAACAGGGCCAGAACCCGTTGTTTCTCCAGAATCATCGTCCGATTAGTCTGCTTTGCTCAACGGGTAAGTTGGCTGAACGTGTTGTGCTGCAAAGGTTGACTGAAGAAGTTGAAGACCGAAATGGTCTGCCTGATGAACAATTCGGCTTCAGAAGGGCACACTCCACCGAGTTGCAGGCCCTGAGACTGTTCGAAAATTCCATCTCAGAACTAAACAATAGGAAGACAGTCCATCTCGTCCTCCTGGACATTTCGAAAGCCTTTGACAGAGTATGGCATGAAGGTCTACTACACAAAATGCTCGATTTCGACCGGCTCCGGGTCTGATCCGGTGGATTAGGTCCTTTCTGAAAGGCAGAACATTTCAGGTTCGACTTGAAGGAACCCTGTCTCCCGTTAGGGAAATCGAAGCTGGAGTGCCTCAGGGTGCTGTGCTGTCTCCACTACTATACAGCCTTTACGTGTGCGACCTTCCGAGGTTCGATCACGTGAAGGTTTCACTTTACGCCGATGATACAAATGAGGATAGTTAAACTCTATCCTCTGATCAACAGAAATTCCAAGCTCAATCTTAAAAATAAGATTTTATTATACAATACGATGTTCAAGTCTGTCATTATGTATGCTTCAGGCGCTTGAGGACAAACCGCTCCGTCAAACCTCTCCATTTTGGAAAGGTGGCAAACTCATGATAATACATTAGTTAGGGAAGCTGTAGATTACACTATAGACGACCCCACTCGATTCAGAAGGCCCCGTCGCTCGGTTGAGTGAAGGCCCCACGACGTCTGTTAAAATGAACAGTTTGTTCATCAAATACCCCAGTTAGGAAGGGGTACCCAAGGCTAGAGCGGCATAGAGGTCATTAATCTTTATGTCGTTACCAAAAAACACCTTCAGTTATGAACCACTCGTCCCCCTGACGAAAGACAGTTGATAGGGTGAGGGAAAAATTTCCAACCTGAAATAAAATGAAGATGACCAAAGGAAAGTCGAAGTCAAATTCCCTCAATTTGAAACTTTATAACAAGTTGAGCTCAGAAGTGCGTTCCCTGAATGATATACATTACAGTTTGAAGTATTATGCACCAATGATCACAGTGATTTATTTAGCTTTGTTTATTTATTAGATTATGGAAGGTTATATATTCAAAAAAACAGTAAACAGTATTATGCACTAATTATTACAGTGGCACTTCGTATTATTAATGGAAAGATCAAGGACTCCTGCAGAAGAACAAATTATTAACTTTTTTTAGCTGCCGAGTCTGAGAGAGCTCCTTTGATAAGAAGTTATGTGCAAGGTCTGCCATCTTTATATACTGACAGCATTGGAAATTTCTACTCTCCTCGGGGATCCCCAGAAGGTTCTATGTACAGATTTGAGCAGACTCCCAATACATGTTCATTTTTACCTGTTAGCTTCTCAAGAGATCAGGTAAAAATTAGAGGTAGTAAAAATTAGGCCTAAAGTAAAATTTATTTTGGTGATACATATTTAGAAAACTATTATGTCACTAGAGTACTTATCAAATTTTTCTCCCATTTTATTTTTACTTTTACTTTACAGACTTCTTAAAACTCTAAAATTTCCATGCCGACTAATATATTGTTTGAATATTACTGTAGTTTTTTCCCAACACCAAATCGTTATTTTCAAAACCTCGACACGTGTTTCGATCACCAAGTGATCATCTTCAAAGAAGAAGATGGCAGTTTTAATCTTCCTCTTTGAAGATGATCACTTGGTGATCGAAACACGTGTCGAGGTGTTGAAAATAACGATTTGGTGTTGGGAAAAAACTCCAGTAATATTCATTACTACACCAAAGGTTCCAAACAGTGCATCATAAGTAATATATTGTTTGTTGAAATCATAGTGGAAGGTCGTATCATTTCAGTTTATTCTAATGAATGTCTGGTTTTGCTTATGGAATCGAAAATGTAATCAATTATTCAAACCTCACATACTAATCATCATCTTCAGTTCCGAATTCTTCTTGTACATATTTATCTGTCAACATTAGAAATTATAATACACACCAATTACAATTTCAAATACCGTAGGATAGTTTGAAAAAGTCTACTCCATTGAGAGTATTCAGTTGCTTTATGATTTGATGAGATATGTTGAGAACTAAGGTGTAGATTTTCCAATTATTTTGATTTTCTATTCAGTTTAATCAATTTTTATTTCAATATTGGTATTTGCTTTTTGTTTGGTAATAATATGTTTTATTATAGGAGGAGAAATATAAGATCCTAGCCAATAAAACCCTTCAAGAGGCATGGGAATTGTTTCAAATGAAGGACTGGAAAGTTAATCGTCAAAATGAAAATGATATTGTATTTAGTGGGACAAATCGAAATGGGAAAAAAATTTTCAAACTTAAGGTATGTTTTTCTACCACTTTTACAATGTTAAAATGATAACTAAAGGAGCAAAGTGAGTTAGTATGTTGAACTACCACAAAAGAAAGTTCTTGAGATCAAACTATTGGATGAGATATTAAGGACACTGAATAAATAAATTATAAAATAACCTATTACTATCACCGACACCATTACTTATGTAGAATGTAGCTGATGGAGTCATAGGGGTTTTTATTGGGAAGATAAGAATGCGGGGGGGTGCACATGTGAGCCAGACATGTCTTACTCAGAAGCGCATGGCACGCTTTCGAGTAATAGGCCAGTTTGAACAAACACTTAAGGCATTTCATGAGCAACAGAGATATGCATATCTGATTGATTGAATAGAATATAATATATTTATTTCATCACATTAACTACAAAAGTACAATAGTGACAAGTTAAACTGAGAAACAAGAATAATAATAATTGAACGATAGTTATTGTTATACATGCTGATTACATCTAAAACAATTATTATGGAAAAAATAATAAAAAACACATGTAACATATTAAAATATCAATGTCAATTCAAATATTCGTCGATGGAGTAGAAACAGTGTCTTAATAGTGAGTGCTTAACTCTAGCCTTGAAACGGTTGTAACTCAGACCGGTAATGTCTGTTGGTATTTTATTGTATAAATGTAAGTTGAGTGAATTTCGAGCCGATAGATCCAGTCTATAAAATTGATTGAATGATAAAATAAATCAATTTTAATAAATTATGAAAAAACTGATTTTGAATGTTTCTGATCACTTTTTATTATTATATGACTTTTGTAATTCTAAGTTATCCATTTTGTTTCGAAACATAAAATAACTACGTTTGTTTGAAGGTGGTTGAGAATATTTCATGGTGAATTTGATTAGTTCGGATTTCCATTGTCTAATATGATATAATATGTTCTTTCAGGGATTTCAAATCATATTATATCATATTAGACAATGGAAGTCCGAACTAATGAAATTCATAAAATAACTAATATAAAAAAATATAAATTATTTAAAATAATTTTAATTTGGTTTCAAATTGACTTCACTTGGATTGGTTTATTCTTGACGAAAATCTCTGTCCTTCGAATGTAATTTTTATTTGAGAGAACAAAAAGAAGTCGCTTGGAGCTAGATCTGATGAGTAAGGTGGATGGCCAACAGTTCAAACCGTAATTCGTGAGTTTTCGCCATGACAACCGCTGAGTTGTGAGACGGTGTGTTATCTTGGTGAAACAGGATTTTATTTTTCTGCAAAAGTGGCCGATTTCCGCAAGTTCTGCCTTCAGCTTGTCAAGTAAAGGTGCGTAGTATGCTCCTGTAAGGTTTTTTTCCTTTTTGAAGATAATCATGAAACACTGCATGACTATCCCCAAAAACAGTTGACATCACTTTTCCAGCTGAAAAAATAGTTTTTGCTTTTTTTGGAGCCGGTTTTTCCTTTGCAGTCCACTCTTTGGGCTTTATTTTTGTTTCGGGCATATAATGGTGTATCCAAGTTGCATCTACAGTAATAAAACAGCGCCAAAACTCGGATTTATTGCGCCTAAACTGCCCCAACATGGCGTTGGAAATGTTCATTCGAACACGTTTTTGGTATAACGTGAGCAAACGCGGCAACCAACGCGCGGACAACTTTCTCATTCCTAAATGTTGATTTAATATGTGACAAACAAGTTCTTTTGACATGTTTATAACTTGTGACGCACTGTTTGGAACCTTTGTTGTAGTATTGAATATTAGTGGAGGTTTTCCCAACACAAAACCGTTATTTTAACACCTCGACACGTGTTTCGACCACCAAGTGATCATCTTCAAAAGGAAGATCAAAACAGTTTTGATCAATTTTCAAGTTGAATCCAAACTCCAAGGCCATGATGTTTTTCGTGTAACCGTTGTGGCTGTGATGTAAAACCTTCAGATCCAATATAAGAATAATCTATTGAGTTCTGTAACTACCATTATATAAAATGCATTGTGTAAAGTATTATTTGAATAATATGTGACCATAAATCTTGAAAAATGGAAATTCTAATTTCAACTATATCTTCGAAACAATTTAAAATATCATAAATTTCCTTAGAACCAATTATACATTTTTTTAAATCATTTTTTGGTTTTCTATCTAGGATACTAACCAACAATAATTAAATTTCACTCATAACATTCTGAATTGTAACTACTAATGAAATATTCATTATTCACCACAAATTGAACTCAAATGATAGCTATGCATTGAAATATTTTCTTTATAATTGTACACTTTACCGTGTTGGTATATAAAAAAAAACACAATCAACAATCGTCAGAAAAATAATGAATTAACCTCTTTACTGTCGCGTCCTAGTTGTGTGTACTATACCATTTAGAGATATTCTCAGTGAATCCCACTTGTAAGGAATGATTTTTCATGGTCTGCTGGGGTACATATACAGGGTGTCAAATTTAAAAGATCTCCACCTCAATACATATTTTCTTTTCATTGAATCGGCAAAACACGTAATTCTTGACTAATTGGTCGTTTACAAGAAACTCCATTCCAAAAATATAACATGATTGGTTTATTGTTTTTAATGTTATCATTCAACACATGATAGTTGATCAAATCAGCTCAAATGAGAACAAGGAATAGTTTCCAGTATTGGTTATACTGGACGAAAATATTATATAGTGAAACACTTCTTGTGGTTAATAAAATAGATAGAGTTTCTAATAGCTTCGTCATGGAATTTGCATCAAATATCGAACATCAAGAAAAATTTCATCAATCGCAATGTAGTTTCATATGACGGTAGTCAATCCTGGTATAGTGAAATTTCTCAAATTGTTAATTTTAACTCAATTTGTTTTATTTCAGGTACAATTAGATACATCACCTGATCACCTTTTAGAAGAGCTATTTTTTCGAATTCAAGATCTTCCAAAATGGAATACTGCTATCAAAGAATCACAGAAAATTCAGTCATTTGATGAGCACACTGACATAACTTATCAAATATCTAAAGATGCTGCTCGAGGGTTAGTCTCTAGTAGGGATTTTGTCAATTTGAGGCATTGGTCAGTTATTGATAAGTGCCAAGTAATTTGTAATTACAAAACAGAGCATCCATCTGTACCAGTTAATGATAAAATTGTCAGGTAAATATTCATTATCAAATGAAAACATTCGGAATGAATATTGTTTTTGATTTAGGGGGGAAAATGGTGTAGGTTGTTATGTGATAGAACCTACTGAAGATACACATAAATGTATTTTATACTGGATAGTAGATATTGATCTCAAAATGTGGATACCAAGCCAAATTTTTGAAAAAGAAATGGCACAAATGATGTTCAAATTCACAGATGATTTGAGAAACCACATATCTTCAAAAAAGACTCAGGAGGTAGTGTGAAGTGACTGAAAAGTACCAGGAAATATTTTATTTTTGCAATTGTACAGTGTTGCTGGTTACACACGTCTATTTTAGAAGAAAATATGGTATTCATCCAGGACCAGTTTAGATAGGAAGTAGAGTGCTGCCTGCAAGTATCTGACTTAAGTTGAATTTAAGATTGTATATTTTCAAGTATATTTAGGGCTCTGGAAAGGTGCTATCTCAAGAGAAAAATATTCATGTGATGAAATGTAAGACTTTTTGAGACTAGTAAAGTTTGATTTATATTATTTTTTCATATTTATAATAAACTACGATTATCAACTGATGTGTATAAAGACTTATAGAAAACTTTTAGATTCCTTAAATGATTTTATACTCCTAGATGATGACTATCATATAATTTTTATTCCTCTAAATGATTTAATTGTTTTTGACAAACATTCAATATTCTTTAGGAATGTAGGCTTTCACGGCTGGGGTCAATGTTTTGGTTGGTTTCCGGGTTTCCTATTGAGCACTAGCTGAGTTGCCGAAAGGGACAGACCAAGAAGTCTGCAGTTGCTGAACATGCACTCTCCAACGGGAACACAAGATTCTGTTCGAAAATACCGAGAGGCTAGCAACGTCGAATCATTATTCAAAAAGAATGTATTTAGAAGCCACACACTGCACCCTCTTGGGCTTATTGCGGTTATTCTCCCATCTTCTCATGACACCCATTCCATCAGTCTCGTTCCCTGTACTAGTTTGTACAGGCTACGTGTTGGATGTTTTTTATATTCTGGACGTAATTTTGTACATTCATATATTGCCTGCCTCCTGTGATTCAGTGCCTCACATTCGCATAAGATGTGTAGAGCTGTTTCTATCCCTTCGTTGCATAATCTGCAGCTGAGGTCTCCGTTGTACAGCTCCATTTTATTCAAGTGTCCTCTAAGCTTTAGTTTCAGTTGTTACGCCAAGAAAAGTACAAAAACCAACCAAAACATTCAATATTTAGTCGTGTTCTTTACATCTTTACAGACACCACTGTAAATGAATAATTTTTGTAGAATAAAAACACTGGACAGATTTTCCATGGAATAAAAATTATTACTTTTCCTATGTACTGATACTGATATTGATGTAGTTAGAACTGATAATTTAATTTTAATAACATGAGTATCAATAATAAATTCAAACATTATTACTGAAAATAAATAATTTCTTGATGAAATGAAAATGTTAATAATATTCTATTCTATTTGAAATTGAAAATATTCAAACTTGTAAACACTGGAAGTATGTGGAACTATATCTCTATAATTGCCATTTATATATTTATAACAGTTTATTTTAATGTTCATTATTTTGTAACTAAATACTTTTGAAAAGTAGATCATTTACTTTTTAAATTTTGAATTCATGATTTCTGATTGATCCCAAACAAGTTTTACACTTGTTATTCATTGTAAGAACTTGCATAATTTTCTAAATAACCCTAATTTTAAATAAATTGTGGAGTTACTTTTTTATATTATGGAAATATGATCTCTTGGTCACTGTAATAATTCTCAGAGCCCGCTACGTGAGTCCGCTCACTATATTATTATACAGGTCGTTTCTTTTATCATGTGGTAACATTGCTATATTCTAAACCGTAACAGATTCGAAGACTATTAAAAGAGAAAAAAGGTAACTGTCATCGGGAAAATAAAAAATGCTGTTTTTCGTTTTTTTCGAATGGAATTGTTATTTTGGAGAATATCAAAAAATGGAAAAGAAAAGTTATTGTATTCGAAGTGTACTATGACGTTGTAATAATAAATATTCGATAAAACGTTTCGTGTCAACATGACCACCATCAACTTTTTTTTAATACGGACCTGTCTTTTTTATTCTAGATATTGATAAAGCGATAAATTCACAATTCAAGGGTATATTACATTTGATATTTTTATAGCGTTTCATTTGAAATAACTACATCATCAGTGACAACAATTTTAAATTACAGTCCTGTCGTTACTTCTTTTGAAAGTTGTTTCGATTTATTTAAAATATAATTCAGATAACCCAATAAATTCGACAGGTAGGTACCCTAACACAATGAAAATTCGTACTTTTTCGTTTTGGAAATTTTTGTATTGCCGTAATCCTTCTTTCAAGGCATTTTTCTCCCTAATCAATTATAATTCGTATTATTTTTATAATTCTCAATCCTTGAATTAACGAAAATATCAGTTTTTGGTCAAAATTCGATTGTTGTATAATTTGGTATGATCATAAAGCATCTCAATTCAATTACCATCTTGAACTCGTATGCTTTGCTTGGTTTCTGTGGCAGGAAAAATGAATGCGTTGTTGATATCTGTTGAGAACTGTCAGACGTTTATGAACATATCAAAGATGTATTCTGATATGCTATTTAGTTATGCAAAATCAAATATGAATTTTTTTTTGGCAAGGAATATGTACGTTGAGCTATACCTGAATCGTCGTATTCCGCACATCCAAATGTTTAGACGATTAGAAAGAAATTTGAGGTACTATGGTGCATTTGACAGAAAGAAAATGTGTGGTTACTGGAAGTGTGAGGAATCAAATAAATATTATGGGTAAGCAAATATTACCACATAAAAATTTAGACAGTGAAAACATTTTTTTTTTTTTAATATAGGATTGGCCAGTTGCAAAAATTATGCTAATTAAGATTCTTCTTTACGAGAAGTTGCCCACGAAATGGGGATTTCTGTTCATCACCTCAATGAAAGGGATTTCGGAAGGAGAGTACGATTTGTGAAGTGGTTAAGACGTAGAAATAAGGAAGTTGGGAATATTTGTAAAAAAATAATATGGACGGACGAATCAAAATTTACCAACAATGGTTGGTTTAACAGAAATATCCATTATAGGTGGAATAATACTAATGAACATTTACATAGGGAAACCAATTTCCAAGAAAGGTTCGAAATAAATGTTTGGTTGGGAATTGTGGGAATAAACATTCTTGGAACTTTCTTTTACGATGATCATTTGAATAGTGAAATGTTTCTTCATTTTCTATTCAAAGAATTCGATGGCTACTTGGATGAATTGCCACTGAATATCCGCCATGAAATACAATATTTTCAACAGAACAGTGCTCCTCCCCATAATGCAGCAATAGTAAGGGAACATTTAGATGCAATATTCCCAAGAAAATGGATTGAAAACAATGGACCAACTAACTGGCCAGCTCGATTCCCAGTTCTACCTTTTTAGATTTTTTGTCTGAGGATACATAAAGGATAAAGTTTTTTCATCACCAAGTACAGATATCGACCATCTCAAACAAAAAATAAGAGATGTATGTATTAGTATTACACCTAATATGCTAGAAAATTGCCATGTAGCTTTGATTTTCCGTATTGGTTTCATTTTTCCCAAATAAATTGTTTTTCTGTTTGATTGTTGTCACTGATGATGGTGGTTATTTCAAATGAAACGAAATAAAAATATCAAATGTGATATACTCTTGGATTGTGAAATTATCGCTTTATCAATATCTGTAATAAAAAATATATCTGTAATATCTGTTAAAAAAAAGTTGATGATGGCCATGCGGACATGAAACGTTTTATCGAATATTTATTATTACATCTTCATAGTACACTTCGAATACAATAACATTTTTCTTTTCCATTCTTTGATATTCTCCGAAATAACAATTCCATTTGAAAAAAACGAAAAACAGCATTTTTGGTTTTCCCCGTATAACTCGAGAAGGGCGAGAGTCCCCGTAAATTTTCTTCGACCATTGTATTGTTCCCGATGACGAAAAAAACTGACATAAACTTCTATTTAAGGTTCTCATAACTTTTTACGTTATAGTGTTCTGTTTATTTTATAGAATAATTCATTGGCATTATGACACGTAACTTAAAGTTTTTTCAGTGGAGTTGTCTCTTTTTCTTAAATAATAGTTAGTTACTTTATACGGTAGATTCAAAACACCATGTGAATTCTACTAGAATTCAAGTGAGATTTATTGATTAACCTGTTGAGTAAACGTCCTTTCACAGTTTGGTTTTCGAATCATGTCTATCCTAATTAGTTCAAAAGATAAAAGCTTAAGAATGATCAAAAAGTCCTTTTTTTATATGTCTTTCAAAAAAATTAAGCATTTCTATTTCAGTATTACTATACAACAAAATTATAATGAGTTGTTCACTAAACAGTTTACAAAATCTCAACAAGTGTTTCACTTCACGCTAACGAAATTCTACCCAGTTGGTGCTTTATATAAATTAACAATTTGAACATAAATATCTGTTTAAATTGAAAAGAAACTTTTTAGGTGATATTAATGTTTGGTAAAGAAAGTTTTGGTTTTCTACTTTTCCATCTTCATGCACAAAAATGTGAGAATCTTCCAAAGGAAGGAAGAAAGCTATAAAGATGCGTAGATCATGCAAAGCAGTTACTTTTAGACACAAATTGAAAAAACCCTTTCAATACAACTACTTTCATATAAACATTGAATTACACGCGAAAAAAAAGTACTTTCGAAACAACTACTTTTATAGTAACACTGAATTATACGAGACACTTTTCTCTATTCAGTTTGTATTCTAAACATTCGTTATGGAATTGAAGCAAATATTCACAGGATTGCTACACAAGATAGTAAATGAAATGTAAAATTTCACTTACATAGAACACTTTCATCCTCGCTGGTGCACATCCAGTGTTCTGGAATAAGAACATCTGCTTCTTCATCACCAATCTGGACAACATCATAAGATAAAGCACTCAATTCTTTCATAAAATCACAAATTTATGTCACAAATGAGTTGAATCTACTCATGTCATCGATGACAGTACGTAATGACATTCATTAACTTTTTTGATTATATCCTAGCCACAGGAATCTTCTTTAAATTGAAAGGAGTATATTTTTTCATAAAAGGGGAATATTCAATGATCTGTGAGTATAGAATGCCTCTTCTTCATGCTAATAGGGATGTGTCAAGAAATTATGTACGAAAATCTCGGTGTAAGATGTATTTTGGAAAATTTAAAAATCATGTTTATTATCAATTTTAGTAATAATCAAGTTTAGAAAATGTATTAGATATTTACCTTCATTTCAGTGGTGAATTTAATTGACGGACGGACTGAATTGGCAAATTCAACAAACTTGTCCAACTGCATAGCTGTACCAGTAAAACAGGTTGAAATAATATACGAAATAAATACTAATTTTAGCAAATGTATTGAAAACAATAAAGACAAAACTTCAGTGTCGGATAGATAAGGAGTATATACGTTAACTTGTGGTTCTTGCTTAAAACTTTACATTGGTTCAATGGAAAGAACTTTTTCCATAAAAAGAAAATAGCATAGAAGTAGTTTTGTTTAGTGTGAAGACCAATTACACATTTGCAAACCATATTTTGGCACAGGGGCATGAGTTCAATCAGTACTATGGCTTGTTACATTTGGAATAGAAATGTGTGAAACTCTATCTTGTGGAATGCTTGGAAATCAATAGATTTGAGAATTCGGAACATTTATTGAATGATGAAAAAGAATTGATTAAATCCCCTTCAATGAATCTGTTTTCTGATGTGGAAATTGGTAATTAGTTGATACTTGAACTCAAGGTAGTTTTTTTCATTTCATGTCCATTAAAATGGATTTTTTTGTAAATATTTCTCTCCTAATTTAAAAATTTTGATTAGTTTATAACTATACCTCAGGTAAATTATTAATCAATATGTAGGCAGAAAGTTATATTATTTGAATTTTCAATTTATAAAAAGCATTAATTAGGTAGAATTTAATATGAACACACCTGTAAAAGCTATTTTATAGTGGGATATGTGTAATGGTTTTATAAACTGTTTAGTAAAATCTCACCATGAAGTATTACTTAATGCACAATAGATTTTCATCAAGTATCTGCCAATTCAATCACAAAATACAAATTGTATGCTTAATGAATTTCGCATCCGTTCCCATTAGGGTTTTTATCAGGAGTTTCAGAAGGATCACATTTTGGTATATTAGTATTCAATTCATACGTTATCGCCTTGTATAAAAATAAAATACTCTAGTTAAATATTGTTTGAGTCGAAAACTTCTGATGGACCAGAATGTGTTGTGGCTCTGGTGTAATCAAAAAGGAATTTCTTTGAGTATGAAAAAATGACATTACATGATTTTCTCTAGAATGAAAATCGGTATTGAGTTAAATCACTTGTTGAATATTGATTTAACTCTCGAAACGGGCCACATTTAACTCTTTGGTAGAGTTCATGTTGAAAATAGGAAACATTGGGGCGAAATATTAGCTACAAGTGGCTTCACAGATTAGAAGTTCTGATAAATTATGAATAATACATTATTTACAACTATTTGAACAATTTTGTGGTAGGCTCATTGATATAATCTGAAGAATAATAACCATCTTGTATAAATAGAAAATAATATAATTTTAGCTGAGATTGATTTTGGGGAAAGAAAGCTTTTTGGCTTTCCACTTCTCCATCTTTATACTTGTAGTTGTATCTCTTTATCTCTATCTCATGAATACACACATGCAAAGAAAATTAAAACAGGTGTTGAAAATTATAATATTGTTTTCAGAATACCAAAATAATCTATTATTTTGGCATTTTGAAAACAATATTTGTGTCAATTTCCTGCAGGTAGATCAGAATATATATGTTGTTACAATTGGATTTCCTTTTCAAGCTTCTAATTGTAGTAGATTTGTTTTTTAAGAAACTAACTTAAAGTGAATACACTGTGGTACTTGGTGAACAACAAAACCAATCCCATTAAACAAAAACGTGAAATCACCTTAAATTACAATCATAAAATCGTAACTGAAAATAAAGATATTGCAAATATATTTGGAGTTCACTTTGCTAACAAGAGAAAAATAGACTCGCTCAATATCACTTGCGATATGTGTACTAAAGTTGAATAGACGAGTCCAAACTTTTTCGCTCCCGTTACTGTACATGACATAAATCATATAGTTCTTAATAAAAAAAAAACGCTGGAATTGATGAAATTCGTGTGACAATACTAAAAGAATTTGTTGATATTATATCTAGCATTTTAACGTTAATAGTAAATTACTCTGTAATGAAAGGAACATTCCCAAATACACTGAAAATCACAAAATCAATTCCTTTATTCAAAAGGGGGATACTAGGTATGTTGAAAATTATAGGATGATTTGCCCCATCAGCTGTTTTTCAAAATAATGAAAACAGCAGTATACAACCAAATAATTAATTATTTAAACAAACATAATTACCTCATCTCAGTATGGGTCAGTTCATTCATAACATCAATAATTGTCTTTTTTACTTTAGAACGCATAACTTTCTGTATATTTGTTTTCGAGATAGATAAAGGACAAAGATAGATGAAAATGTTTTTATTTTCTACACAATTTTACAAAATTGAAGAGCTCTCATTAGGTTTCCAAAGCCAAGTCCAGTGCAGTGGTCGATATTATCGGAATTATTTTTCTTGTGTTGGGAACCATGACTGACATGCTTCATTTGCTATTTCGCACATGGCTGAAAGAGCTTTACCGGCATTATCATATTCTGAAAAAAAAAAAGAAGTAAGTGGTTAATAGGAACTACTTGATTAATACAATTCCTATTTCATAATATTTCTTAATTAAATTCACTATGGAAGTTTACAACCTAGTAGTTCATATTTTATTGAACTTGTAGTAGAATTAATTTTGGAAATTATTTGCAAGTTGAAATTACTATTTCATCACTTCACTCTTGAAATAACTAGCATTTTCAGTGAATAATGAGAAGTTGTCATTAATGAAAATCCACATTGACTCATGAATAATTAGTGTTCTCAGTAAAATCTATTTCAATGAATAATTAATAACTCACCATTACTTGTTCCTGTCCTCTTCCCAAAGATGGATCCATTGAATGGGGGTCTTCTATAAGCTGCATCGGAAACTGAGATTAGAACTCCCAGAATGAGTACTGCTACACAAAGGCAGGCAAAAACTTTTCCAAATTTTTGTTGCATGTTGTTTCTGTGAAAATAAATAGAGGTTGTGTACAAGACACGTGTAAAATGAGTGATTAGCACTGATTTGTACCCTTCAATGATAGAAAGTCAATCGAATCAGCTATACGAGTATAACCATCTTTTCACATTGAGGGTAAAAATTACTGAGTACTGATATCTCCATTTTAAATTCATGAGACCACCCATATTTAAGTAGAAAACGTTTATGAATGGATATTTGGTAGTTTTTCCACTAGATATTTCCCTCGATGCATAAAACGAAATCAGTTGAAAGCTAGGGTTGTGCTCATATTTCACATAAATCCTAAAACTTGGATTGTAAAGCTAAGTTTTTTGAGTTTAATTTATCGTTTTCTTTTCCTGGAAATAATTTCCATGTATATCCCATGTACACCAAGCTCCATTGATCAAAATTTTGGTTTTAAGCAAATGCTTCAGTGAATAGTAGTCTCTCAACTTATGGTCTCGAGATTTCATCAAATTATACACTCAAGTGCTCAGCTCAATTTCAAAAATTATGGATTTGTACACATTTTAACCGATGCATTCATTATATAACCCTCGAAGAATTTTGTCTATAATAATATCATGATTGAACAACAGATCACCGTTGGTATCCTCGTTGATTTGGTATTCATAGTTTGAAATTTTTTGTCGATCCCTTAGATGTCATCTTCGTAAGGGTAATCTTTAATCTTCACTTAACTTTACACTTGGTTAATTTTCAACTTGACTTGTAAAAAGCTGACCATTTCAAAAAGAATATTTGGAAAATTTTTAGTCTTACATAGAGTCATTGCTTTTTTTACTTTTATAACAGTACCTTGAACGACTGTACAACTTTCCATTAGTTTGATGTTTAATAACTTTCCAATACACCATTGTCAAGGCAGTGATTTCACTACTGAATTTGAAATACTAATCAAGAATGAAGTTTTTTTGAAAAATGATTTGCTTGATATTTTTTCTTATAATTTGTATAATGATCAATATACCGACAATTAAATAAGTAGGTTTTGCCATCCTATTACGCAATATTGATAAAATTATCATGTATTTGAGAATTTCACAACTATTTTGAATAGAAGAACTTCATCAGGAGGTTTGTAAATGTTTGTCATCAAGTCCAAAGGGGTGATGCATGAAAATGCTCTACCATCAATCACATTCAAAATCAGAGAAATTACCTCAAACAGTGGTTGTTTTAGCAGCCGTATACAGAGTTAAGGAGACTTAGAACTTTCTCTAGGTCTCCCTTTCTTGTAACATGATTTTGAGAATAAGATGGGTGAAATTCTGAATTGAATAGTAAGTTACTTGAAACCTGCCTGGGGACCTAGGCGACTGTATTTCAAATCGAAATTTACGTCATCGATTTATGTCTGGTAGAAACTAACTTCACACATATTATTACCTACTGGCAAGTCACTGTGCTCTGAATCATAGCTTGAAGAGATTTGGACTGTCGAAGGAGAGTTTGTGCCATTACTGTTTAGAAGGTGATGACACTCATTGTAACTGCCCCGCTGTGGACTAAATCAGGTTTTCAATCTTTGGCAGACACTACCCTTACTATCTGACCTGAAAAGTCATCCACCAAATGACCTAATCACTTTAGTTAAGAAGCTAGACTTATTTTGCCGAGTTTGAATAGGTGGAGGGTCGAATAGATCCACTCACTTGGCATCTACCCTACCTACATAGAGGGCCTCTGCTTTCGACAACGCGCTTGTCACAAAGATTTTCGGACTGTTTCGCTTTATATTATCAAGGCCTCTGATAGTTCACAAATTAAATCTCGATGTTCGTGGTTTTTCAGCTTTCTGAAAGACCCTTCTTGGCAAATAGATAGCCGTGTTGCTATCTATTTGGCAGGACTCCATATTGTCTCCAACACTTTCTATTATACATGAACGGTATATTGGAAAAGTCCACACATCCAGTATTTTGCTCTGCAGAGGACATTTTATGTTCGAACATCATGCCAATGCCAGAGAAAACGAGATGTTTTATATTTCAATGAAGATCTGGAAAAAAATTAGCTTAGGGTGACAGAAAGCAAGTAGAATTTGATGTTACAAAAACTAAAGCATCAGTTTTCTCTAAGAGGGTGAAAGTGGTGAAACCGGAGATCATTAATTTTGTGGTACATATGTCTACGTTGATTAATTTGTTGGCTGTCATATTGGATACCAATATGTCTCAGCATAGCTAAGTCAGCTTCTCAGAAACTGTACTTCATACATATCTCAACGTGCTCAACTATATGTGCTTTGGAATATTGTACACGTAATTGGAACTTTTATCCTAAACATATTTGTCTCTTATCAATAAATACTTTCACAAGAAATATTTGACAGATTCAGCCCGCTCGTTTTCACCCAAAGCAGAAATATGAAGCAAAATATAGCTGCCCAACGCTTCGAGGTTCAGTTTAACGTACCTCGAATTACGCTTTCTCAAAACTTTGTCATCTGTAGAACGCCGTTATTATGGAATGAACTCTCCGAGAGAGTTTTTCCTTGATCTACAGCAAGTCGTAGAATAGCGTAAGCTAAACTCCGCCGAGATAAAAGTAATGACCAATTATTATTATTAATAAATATAACGCTAAAGGCTACCTTCCTAAAGCAACCGCTTTCACAACGTTTCAAGGATTGAGAGAGCGGAGGCAGATTTTGATCTAAATTAAGATAAGTATTCTTAGCCCTTTTTTTGATAGGCAAAATTATGAAGTTTCTGATAAATAGCGCATTTTCTTTTAAAAAAATCTATTGAATTTACGCAGTAACTCATCAGATTAAATCGGATGTTTACCCTTTCTACACCTGTATGAAGTTCTCCATATTTTTTTTCAGTTTTTGAAAGATGAGAATCCCCAGAAAGATCCATAAAAAACTGATTTTCTCCACAAAAATGACTTCTGTTCAATATAAGTGAAGTATAACTCACCTGATGCTTCCCAGATGAGATGCTTTTCTGAAGATCTTCTGCAAGACACTGAATTTTCTGTGAAAATCACCAACGTTTTATAGATAGTGGCGGCTGGCTTGTCTATTATTACTGTGAAAACTAATTATGATTCCATTTGTTGTACACACCTTCAAAATAACTCGATCAAGAAATCCGTACATTTCCCTCGCGAGCGTCGTGAAGCGTCTGAAGTTTCATTCCTCGAATAAATCCAATCAGTTTCTACTCACCACTTTGTTGCTTTCAATCAGATTCTTCAGTATTTTATAGCTTGGGTTAGAGAAAATACGCTATTTTCCAGATGAATGAATTCTTGCACTTGATATATTTTCATGATATGATTCGGCTGTGTTATTTTTCAGGTGGAGGGATCTGATTACTTTTAGGTACAAAGTTTTAGTTGGATGTACTTTCATTTACGATTTCGTATAAAATAATTTCATTGTACTTTATTTTATTACTTTAATATTTTGAATGCTGCCTCAAGTATTATTCCCCTTTTAATACCAATTATTAGATAAAAACTTAGTTGCTTTTTTTCAATAAGTACTTATAAATTTTTTATTGGTTCTGAAAAAACTTTCGATACTTTTAGTATGTTATGGGGTATCTTCAACTTATACTATTAAGTTTCTGAGTGGTGAAGTCATTAATTTGTTAACTCTGTCATCCGGGATTTAACGAAAAAAAGGCATCTAGTGAAGTTAGAGAAAATAATAGTGAATTAGATTCAGTGATTAAATACACGATCAAGTAATCACGACGAGATGGCAACGTTGAGACATCTTTGAGTTTTTGAAGTCCATACGACAAAATAGAAAAGAAGAAAAAAATGAGATGACAATAAGAATTAAAAGAACAGGAAAAAAATATATCGAAAGGTTTTGATGAAATAACTAAAGTAACAAGAAATGAAAAGAAATGGAAGCATTAGAAAGGATAATACAATCAAGAGACGAAGCTAAAACAACTACAATTTGGTCGACTATGCCAGCAAAGAAGCAAAGCCAAAAAAAAACGAGTAGAAGAATGAAATAGTATGACATGAGAAATATTCAGTTGTTTCGAAAGTTTTGCCCGTTTTACTGTTATTTGTTTTTGTAGCTCAATATTTCAATAAATATTTATTATATTGTGTCGTGGTATATACTGATCGATAGAGAATTTTGTACTGTATACCGTGATGCTGTTTATTTTTTTCCAAGCTCCAATGCGGTTTTTGATGGTTTGTTTAAAACGTATTGGAAAGGTCGGAGAGCTCGAAAAGTGGTGCCCCACGACTTGAATGATCGATAGAAATGGTCAAATTTCGAGGTCTGCACTTCTTTGCTTTTGCGCAACCAAAACGATCTAAACAGGATTACTATATGATGGTCAGCGGCTGGTGTGATTCATTATAACTTTCTGCAACCGGACAAAACCATCACAGCAGGGTCCCACTGTGAATAAATCGACGAAATGTACCAAACATTGCGTCAGCAGCAGCCGGTACAGAAGAGGTCCGATCTTGCTCCACGGTAATGTTTGTTTCACAAATCACCATTCGAAAATTGAACGAATTGAGCGTCGAAGTTTTGGCTCATTCACCATAATCCCCAAAACTATTGTAAGGTAAAACACTGGAGCATCTAACTTTCTTTAGACTGTCATCGTGGGATGTGGCTAAGTACTAAGAAACAGCAACCAATACCAACAGCTGGTCGGAAGAGAAAAGGGCTACCACACTAGTTCCAGTATTGCCAAACGAAGCATTAAACTTGCTACGAAGTTTTTTGAAAGCAGCAAAAACGAATATGAAAGGATTGGGAAAGCTCTGGAATAACAATAATACTTGAAGCCAGAGCTAATTCAGGAGCAGATAACAACAGCTGCATGCACCCTCCGCTAATCCCAAAAAATGGTGTTACAGATTGGAGTATTAATGGTTTGAAGGAAATGTAGCAAGTTCTGAAAATAGGTTGACATCTAAACGTGGAGTACAGAATCGACAAGCTCCTAATATTCTGAAGAAAATTGCTGTTACAACTTGATGCATCAGGGCATTTGCAGTTGAAATTGTTGGAAACTATTTAGGTCTTACATTATACCAAGAAGACAACTATACAACCTACAGTTGTTCAGCAACTGGATGTAAAGCGGTTGAACAGGAAAGCTAGAGGAAAAGTTGAATTTGCCTTACGCTACAGAGAAAATGGAAATGTCTCTACCAAAAAATTAATGAGGGACCATGGAGCATAGTAAAACCATTAGTCGTTCACCAGGTTCCTTATAATGGTAATGATCCTCACAGTTGGTTACGACAGAATCAAGCTGACAATTTATCAGATACGGATCAACTTGAAGAGAGTGTCGAAGTGGAGAATACGATTTTGACAGCCGGTGGAAGTACATGGTTGCTATTGATTCTCGGAAAGATAGAGGAAGTGATGATGAAAGAAACTGGAGGCAATAGAGTAGTGGGTAGTATTAGAGATATTTCCAGAGAGCAGTGAAATAATTATAAAAAGATTTGGAAGTATTAAGTTTTATGTAAATGAATTGATCAAAAACCCAAGAAATCCAGCATATGTATCCAAAAAAGATCCTTTTCCAATCATCAGAAAAGCAATATTCTTTCCGACGCGCGTTTTAACAACCTAATTGGCGTCTTCGGGAAATGAAGAAAAATAATTCCTAATTCTAAAACTCTTTCTCTGATTATATCTACTAACAGTGTACTTTCACTTCTACTTTCTGATATATATCAATGATTTCGGGTAGCAATTTGTGGGAAATTTTCTCGTTAAAGTTCTCGCAAATTTTAACAGAGTGCGATACACATCAATGATTTTGGGAGATCATGTACTGATCCTGAAAATTTCAGACAGTTTTCATTCATTCTATGACCATTCTCCAAGGCGTGTTGGAGGCATGCTGCGTGTTCTTTAAACCGAGTTTTAGTGGCTCGCTTAGTCTCGCCTTTATATTTTTTGTCACCGTGCTCATAGCTCATTTTATATATCCTCGACTTTTCATTTTCCAGCATCTTGTCTTTAGGGTTACCTAACATTTAATTGAATAGAACTGGCCGATACTTGATGAAAAGCCATATTAAAACTCATTAATATACCTAGTGTATTGTACGATTTTCACTATAAACGGTTTTACAAAACACGTGTTTTGCTATACAATAGCTTTCTAAAGCGTTAATAACGCGAGACGTGTGTCGCGGTTTTTGTAAAACCCTTTATAGTGAAAATCATACAATAAATAGGTTTACCTAACATTTGTTGAAGTGAGCAAGAAGTTTTTGAAGGCTACTTTCATGTTCAACTTTTTGAAAATAAGACCTAGTTCTTTAGTGTGTCTTGGTTTACGAAGATTATCACAAAATTTACGTTGTCTTATTATTTCATTTACAATATTTGAAGAATACTGGTTGCTTTCAGCTAAGGGCCTGATGACATTTTTCTCAATATTAAACTTTTCTTTACTCACGGGAAATATGGATAAGAAAGTTTAGACGTTACCGCCTTGTTAAACTTTCATGTTTTTTTTAAATGATATATTTTGAGACACCTTGTACAAATTGAGGGATCGCACATTGAAACGTTACAGCCTCGTTGAACTGTCACATTTTTTGTTGATTGATGTATTTTTGCCACACCGTGTACACATTGACGCCATGTTTTTTTTTATGTATTTTACGCACCGTTTATACATCACTTAATGCCCCTTATATTGCAGACATGTTTTCCTTTACTACGATTTTTCATTCTGAATTTTCGA